AAGGCTGTCTTGCTCTCATCTTCATGGTGCATCATGATTTGATGATAACCCTTGAATGCATCCATGAAACTCATCAGCTCGGCCCCAGCCGTCTCGTCGACCATCTGGTGGATACTCGGTAGAGGATACGGGTCGAGCGGACAGGCCTTATTGAGGTCTGTAAAATCAATGCACATCCTCTAAGCCGGGGGCTTAGGAACAAGGACAATGTTGGCCACCCACTCGGGATAGATCACCGGTCGGATGTGCTCGATCGCCGCCATCTTTTTAACTTCTTCCCTGACGAACTCGCGACGATCGGAAGAAAGGTGTCGGGTCTTCTGCACGACCGGCTTTGCTGCGGGATCGACGGCTAGCTTGTGACAAATTACCGATCGATCGATCCCGGGCATGTCTTCAGGCCCCCATGCAAAGATATCGGCATACTCCCGGAGTATGGCCAAGATTTCCGCTCGGAGCTCGGGGGTGAGGGCCCGGCCAATCTTCATCTTCCTGTCCGGTCGGTCCTCGGACAGGGGAACTTCCTCTATCTCCTCGGAAGGCTCAGGTTGTTCCTTCCGATCCTTCGCCTCCTCCTTGGCTATGGTGTTCACCCGGGAAGACGGACCGGAATCGCGTTTATTGACCGCTCGGGTGTAACACTTCCGGGCGGATTGGACGTCGCCGCGGACTACGCCGACCCCATTGGGGGTGGCGAATTTCATGCAGAGGTGGGGCATAGAAATTATCCCACCGATCTTCATAATGGCGGGTCGGCCCAAGATTATGTTGTGGATGCAATGGAGGTTGACCACAACGAACTCTAGCTCCGTCTTGATCGACTTCGGGGATGTGCCGATCTCAACCGGGAGCGTTATTATTCCTTCGGGGTAAACAAGAGCCCCGGTAAAACCCGACAGTGGTACACCGACCGGAGTCAGCTCCTTCCTATCAAGTCCAAGTTTCTCAAACACGTCCAAATAAAGGACGTTCACACTGCTACCAGTGTCCACCATAACCCTCTGGACATCCGTCCCTTTGACATCAATCGTGACCACGAGCGCCTCCATACCGTGGTCACCGCTGCTGGGTTGATCTTCGAGGGTGAAGGTTATGGGCTCCATCTTTTGCCTCTTCCCGGTCTCCCGGGAATCCACTATGGCGACCGGGCAATTACTCCTCGGTCGGGAAGCGTCTTCCAATCCACCAAAAATGACGTGGATGGTCGGCTTTCCTGTTGGTCGGCTGCTAGACGGAGGGTCAGGGTCCCGTCGGTCATCACGACGATCGTCTCTTCGATCGTCTCTTCGGTCCTGACCTGACCGATCGGAGCGTCCATCACGATCAGAACGATCGGAGCGGTGATGGGAACGCCGGTGATCTCTCCGATCGGTATTCCTCTTGGTGTCCTCTCTCTTCCCCACACACTTGTCCAACTTCCCAAGATTGAGCAAATCCTCCAACAGTTGGCGCAAGTTGGTACACTCCTCAGTGTCATGCCCGGCACATCGGTGGTAAGCGCAATGCTTACTCTTGTCAAGGCCGTCTCGATCGGGATGGGGGAGTTTGATGAGATTGCAGGACTGAGCGTACTACATGGCCTCCGCTGCAGATCGGTTCAAGGCCGTAAACTCACCAGGCCTGGTGCGGGATCGGGGATGATCATCACCCAATCGGTGTTCCGCCCGGCCGGCTGGTTTACGGGACGAAGACCCGACCTCCTGCGAGCGCTTTACGGCATTCGCCTCGCCGGCGTTGGCATAATCTGTGACCCTACGAAGGGCCTCCTCATAAGTGGCCGGGGGGTGCAGAATGAAATCCTGATACAAATAGCCCGCCCGGAGGGAGATGTGAAGCATGTGGGTGGCGGTCGCATCATCCATGGGCTCGACCTCCCCGACCGCCGCCTTCCATTTGATGAGGAAGTCGGTCAAGCTCTCCCCTTCAAGCTGCTTGGCCTTCTCCAAGTACATATAGGAATTCTTCACCACCTTGGAGGTGATGAATTTCCTCACGAACTTGATCGCCAAGGCATCAAAATTTTCGATCGAGCCCGGCTGCAACGTTCGGAACCATTTCGCCGCTCGGCCGGTAAGCGTGGAATAAAAAGCCCTACACATTACGGCGTCTGATACGCCCTTCAACATCATATTGCCGTAGAAATCATTAACATGGACCTCAGGGTCCGTACGACCATCATAACTCTTCTCCCCGGAGACCTTCAAGTCGAGCGGGTAAGGCTGAGCCATCACTGCCGCTGTAAAGGGCGTCCTAAGCAAGGTCGATTGGTCGACCGGGGGTGTTGCAGGGTGCGCGCTCCTGAATTGCGCAAACTCCGCCTGGAGGGTGTTCAGCAATCCTCGGGTCTCAATGAGCTAGGCCGTCTGGGTGGCTTGGGCTGTATCCCGAGCGCGTCGCCGATGGTGAGATCTCGACCCACTATGCCCGGATGAAGCCTCCTGGCTGGCGTCCTGCATCTGCACGTCTTCCGGCTGCCGATTCGGGTCTTGGGGCCCCAAACGTTGTCGCAGCTCCGGTCGAAGACGATCAAAAGCTACCGCCCGGGTAACTTCTTCGGGGTCCTCCGCTCGGGCAGGAACCTCCTGTGCTTGCTAGGCCTGCCGTGGTGCCTCCATCGCATCAGCACCCCCCGACCCCAACCGCGAACGAGCCGAGCGTCGAGCCCGGGAAGTGGGCTGATGCTGCGGCTCTACATGTGCGGCCGGGTATACTGGAGGGGCGGCGGCTGGAGCCGTGTACGCAGGCGTAAAGGGTGGGTAGCCAACCGGGGGCGTGTAATACATCGGTTGGCCTGGCCAATACCCGTACGGTTGAGGTGGGACCGGGTATGGATACTGGCCGGGATACATCATCGGCTGTTGTGGATATTGCTGACCGGGTGTCTGATATCCCGGTTGTATATAGTTCACCGGCTATTGGGCGGCCGGGTATGTGTTGGATGGATGCGGTGGTGAGAGATTGAGATTTAGGTCCACCGTCTGACCTTGCTGTTGGGTTGCGTGGTGGTCGGATGAGCTCGCTGCATCCGCCTAGTCGTCAGCGAAGTTGTTGTATGCCCACGGATACATTATTGCAGAGAGACCGGGTGCTCGTCAAGACGTTTGCTTTCTTGCACGGGTCCCCACGGATGGCGCCAAAATGATACTGCTAATTACTACGTAAGCAATAATTAAGCAAATACGAGACCAATTAAAGCAAGTAAATATCTTTATTGATCACGGTGAAGGCCCTAAGTACAATCTACTTGGTTGCTCTGAGTACCGACGGACTGCGGTCGGGAATCTCTAACAACAACCTATCGATCGTCCAAAAGTCCCCCTCATTGTAGCTACTGTGGGTATTTATAGCCGCTGCGCGGGAGACACAAATCCGGTCGTTCGGCATGCTCTCCACGTAGCCACCACGTGTCATCCTCCCGGGTGCCCTGTCTGTCGTCGCAAGGAGCCGCCACGTGTCCTTTGTCAGCTCTCTCGCCAAAGGGCTACCGCGCGGTGGTCGACACTGCCGCTCAGGCAACTCCCGGTCGGACCCCGACCGGGTTCTTCACAAGAATCCCGACCCGTTACCTGCAAAGACAAGAAGACAAAGACAAAGGCACACCAGTCGGGGTAAAATTATGTCGGTCGGGATATTCCCTACCATATATATATATATATATATATATATATATATATATATATATATATATATATATATATATATATATATATATATATATATATATATATAGGGCTGCGGTCCATAATCTGGTTGCGATCAGATATACATACTATTCGGGCTGCGGTCCACTGCCTGGTTGCGATCAAACGTTAGAAATGAGCTGCGGTTCATCGATTAGTTGCGATCGATCTCCTTGTGCTGCGGTACAAGCAGGGTGCTTCGGGGCCGTGTCAGAGCTATATGCGCTGACCCTCATGTATGTGCATGCGATTGGTCCTGCGGCACCACCAAATGTGTTTACGTGTTTGAAATAGTCATTGAATACTGTTATGATTGATATGGAATAGTCTTGTGACCTTAGGGTGCATGTTAGTATCTTTATATGCGTGATTAATTCTGTTGAATGTGCCTACCCTTACTTGATTGAGTCTATTCTCGGTTTTAAATTAGAGTTTCATAAGTATATATGTATTCCGGCTTCAAAATGGTTTTCCTTATATATTTCTACCTATATTGTATTTAACGCGTTGGAGTGGGTTACCAGCATTATTCGCTGAACAGATATATTTGGCTTTCAGGCAGAGATGAGTAGCTCCGGAGCGCGCTAGTTGGACCCGTGGACTTAGCTAGTTTAGTTCTTTTATCGGCCTGCGTGCCATGATGATGTACTTGACATTGATTTGAGGATTTCTGCTGTTTAGATAGTTTAGCCTGTGCATCTGAGTTCTCCAGCTCAGATGTGGCATAGCACCCCAACAATTATGTTTAGTTATGCTCTGTTTGGGATTTAATGATAGAATTGCCTTTATTTCATAAGCATTAAAAGTTTTAAAATTTAGGGGTGTTACACTAGGGCTTCCACCAAATTCATTAACCCTTTGACCCTTTAAGGGACAAGTCACTGAACCACAGATTCAAAGTATCATATATTCATATATATACAAATCTGGATTTCAACAGTCAACACTCAACAGATACAGAGAATAACACTATCACAGTATCATATATTCATATATATACTTTCTAGTTTCTAATGCTAATCATTTATATGGATTTCACACACAGGGCTGACAGGGGCTAGGGCTTCCACCAAATTCACAAATTGCACAATCAAGTGACAAGTGACATGCAATCTGGAACTTCTCAACAGATTCTCAGTATCACAGTCGATACAAATGATACAATCATACAATCACAACAAAATATCACAAATTGCACTATCAAGGGACAAGTGACATGCAATCTGGAACTTCTCAACAGATTCACTGTGTCACAGTCCACAAATTAAACCCCCGAGAACTAAACTATAATAATCTATAAAATTAGGGTTTAGAGATTACTTCGTTTCTCAAATTAAACCCCCGAGAACAAAGGGCTTCGTGTCCTACTTGTGACTTGTGAGTTGTGAGTTGTGAGTTGTGAGGGCTTCAACGGATTCACCGTCTCTGAGATTAGGGCTTCCACCGATTGAGAACTGAGAGAGTGAGAGTGATAGCTTCCACCGGAGAGAAGCGAGACTGTGAGAGTGAGAGAGTACTCAGACTCTCAGAGTCTCACGAGAGAATGAGACTATGAGAGATTGAGAGATGACTGATGAGTGATGAGAAACCAGAGAGGCAGAGATGAGAGATCTGGAAGAGAGAACTCAGAGAACGAGAGAGTTCTCACACGACAAAGCTGCGCTAATGAACCTTGTGGAACGAAGGAAGCAATATATATTCAGTCTACACGACGTCGTATCCCTAATGCCCTAACAAAGCTTTACCCTAGATCGGATATTCGGACGGGATCAGGTGGCTCATATAGCCCCCTACCCGAATACAATCACCCGCATATTAACCCACCAACGGATCGGATATTCGATCTCGGATACGGATATGGCGTTTGTACATGAAGTCGGGTTTCGGGTGGGTCGGGTTGGGCGGATAATTCGGGTCCTGCACAGCCCTAATTTCAGGCATGGTATATATTGAGTTGTTATACTATGGACAAGGATCCACCTTGCAAGGTGGATCCTGGTCCTAAATGACGTATAAATTTTGTATTTTTAGTATTAGAATTGTGAACATCTAGAATATAAATTATGTTTCTAAGTCAAAACACATAACAACTGTAGAAGGGAATTTGGGAATACAATACATAGTCATAAAATCATGATCTGTTAATATTGTGTGACTACAGTATTTGAAATGAACTTGTGAATACAAAACTAGGTAATGAATTACATATATTCTAACATTGTGTGTTCATAGTATACAAATTGCAAATTTTTAAAAGGTAAATTGTGAACATTTAGTATGTGAATTGTGAATATTTGGACTTGAGTCCTCAGAATAATTTGCGGTTTATATTCATTTGGGCCTAGCACCTCATGCCATAATACTATTATTCTCATATCCCCATTTTGTACTTCTATACCTAATTTTGGTGGACTCGACAAAATCATCAAACATTTATCAATGATTTACCTTGCAATGTGAACCATAGATCATATCATAATTTGCTAGGTTTATTAAGTGTTTAACAAATATTATGGATGTCAATTTAGACCAATTAAAAGTGCATGTAAAGCCTAATCTCGATCAGCAATTAAAAAAGATTGTTTTTATTTCTTTTAAAGAAAAGCTAGCAATGATATCTGGTTAAAAGATTTGGCACTGAGCTCGATCGATCGCACCGTATCTTGGAAATGAAATTCACAGACATAAAGAAAAGAGGTTAAGTAATTGATTTAAATGAATAGCAACAAACGTGAGGATTTGTTTAGGTTCAATAAAACAAGAGAATCTTAAACATTGCCCAACTGTCTAGCTAAGTGCTGCATATATGCTCATAATTATATTATAGAGTTAATTTCATCAGAGGTCCTTTGTTTTTGGTGTCAATTCCAAATATAGTCCCTGACTATTGTTTTTGCCATTTAACATCATAGACTATTATTTTTTGGACACTTTTAGTCCTTCTTATGACTTTTCCTATTTTTTGTAAGGGCATCTTTCTCTTTTCCTATTTTTCTTTTGTTATTTTTCCGGTTTTAACCAGTTTAATTGGTTCAGGACTTTAGGTAACCTCTGATTTTTAGTAACCATATTTTTCAACCGATTTTTAGTAAAGTCCTAAATCAATTAAATTGGCTGAAATAAAAAAAATAACAAAAGAAAAATATGAATAGGCAAAAATGCCCTTACTAAAAATAGGAAAAGTCATGAGAAAAACTAAAAGTATCCAAAATTTATTAGTCTGGGATGTTAAATGGCAAAAATAATTGTCTGGGACTAAATTTAGAATTGCCACCAAAGACAAGGGACCTCTATTAGAATTAACTCTTATATTATATTTTTCTTTCCATTACTTCATAACATACAACAATTCAACAATTTCTTATTGTGCAGAAAAAGGCTAGGGTAGCTAATTAACTGTACTGTTTGCCAAAGTTCTCATCCTCAACATTTGTTCAAAATCTCTATTGCTTTGTGATTGCACAAACTCTTGATGAGGTGATCCTCACTACAAAAGTTAGAAGTTTAATTTCCACATTGTATAAATTATAAATATAAGGTGTTTAATTTTCAGTTTATATATTATGGTTTTAATTTTAAAAAAAATAAATTTTAAGCCGTGGGTAGTATATATTCTCATCTAATGGAATTGATACAAAGACAATTGAGTCAGTGTGGAATTTATTGAGAGACTAATAATAGATATGCAAATTAGATGACATCTTGTCTTGAAACCTAGTATTTGAGACTTATTACTTTTAGTCCCTGTGATATAAGACACTTTCTCATTGAAGAAATTTTTGAAATTGTCTTATCATATTTCATGTAGTTTTTATATCTTTCTATGTTATTTAAATAAATTGAAATTTTAAACTAAATCCATACAAAAGCCTGAAATAATTGTTTTGCTGGTAGTGGAGTGTTTGGAAACAATTATTTGTCCTCCCACTGCACCTAGTTGTGTTCCCACTCCCGGCCACCAACCATGTTAGATGATAATACATTTTTTTTGGAAAAAATGATCCGAGATCGAGTCTCACCTAGCTGCAACGACAGTGTAGGAGTAACCTCTCAAAGTGAGATGGGCTCTTTGTGCACACTGCAGGGCCGATCCTGGCCATGTCTGGCCAGGGTGACCGCACACCTATCGTTATATCGTGCACTAGGGCGCAAAATGCATCGCGCACCCTGGTCCAAAACGACGTCTTTTTTATAAGTACTACTTAACAATATCTTTACATTTTTTTTAACACTTGTGTTTATATGTATTCTGTTAAGAGTTGTGTATTCTATTAAGAGTTTCTGTGTATTATGTTAAGAGTTTATGTGTATTATGTATTATGTTAGATTATGTGTATTATGTTAGGAGTTTATGTGTATTATACTATAAATTCTGTACATACGAAACATGTGATCTTTTTTTAGAAGTTAATGGCAAAAACATGAAACGAAATTTCTAAAAAAAAAAAACAAATACAAAACGATGTTGTTTGGGTCAGGACGCACAATGTATTGTGCGCCCTGGTGCACGATATAATTTGCCGACGGCACAGTGCCCCCATTTTTTGGGGGCCAAATTTTTTAAATTTTTTTTTTAGATATAATCTATTATTTTTTTTTATACTTGATAATTATTTTTTTGAATTCATAGATTGGTCTTAATTGTAATTAAAAATAAAAATAAAATTTTAGAAGGAATTGACATCCAATTTTGGTGAATAATTTTGTATTTAAATATGAACAAGAAATGACACTTTAAATTTAACTTTTGAATTATCTTTCTTTATTAACTTTTTATGCATTATATTTTGACAAAAAATTTTAATTACATTTTTATTTTTGTCATAAAATGTAATAACTTGAAGTCCATTTGGACTCGATTACCTCAGTTATAGAGATTTTCTAGACCTTCTAGATTATGTTTCTTACTTTTTACAAGTAGAAATCTTTAAATATTCAAAAATCTCTCTCTCCCTATGTTCTTGTCTTTGTAGTTTATATATTATACTAGTTTTTTTACGCGCATTGCGCGATTGTGATAATGCCCAATGTTTTTTTTTTTTTTAATAAGTACTTTAAAGTATATCAAGGCAGGATTATATTGGAATTGTTCATGCATAGATAATTGAATGTTAAATTTGCATATTTAAATAGGCAATTCTAAGTTTACAAATGCAAGATAATATAGTCAAGATTGATTATAATTGTCAATAAAATAATTGTATAGGTATGGTTGAAACCAAATACGGGGCATAAGGGAGAGCAAATAAAAATTAGAGTATAAAATATTAAATATATACTAATATTGAAGAGCTACTGCTGATTGCCAAACAAGGACATTGCGGGATAGTTTCCCACTTCAATTTGTTGTGTGATTTGAATACTCATTTTGTCAATAAATCCCCCAAGTAGTTAATATGATTGGCTTAATTATATTTTTTTATTTTTTTTAAAACAATTATTATTATTATTATTATTATTATTATTATTATTATTATTATATTTTGTTATATTTTTTTCTCTTAATTAATTTATTGATAATTTATAATTATTTTAATAAAGACATTGTAGGGACAATGTAGCAAATATAATCCATTGATGAATTTGAATGTAAAGAATTTTTATATTGGAGAAAAATAAATACAATATAACTAATGAAATTATTTCTCTTATTTAATTTATTGATAATGAATAATTTTTTTTGAATAAAGATATTGTAGACACATAATTCTAAATTAAAGAAATGCATATGTATTATTTTTTGTTGTAGCTACTAAATTATTATTTAATATAATAAGAGTAAAATAGAGTACTAATTATGACAACTTTGATTGGGATGAGGTTCAAACCTAAGACCTTTCTTATTGAAATCAATGAGTAAGTTAACAGTGAACTAACATAAATTAACGAAAAAGTTAACGGATAATCATATTCATTAAGGATAAATTAGGAAATCTTAAGGAAAAATTAAAATCTGATCAATCTGAGCTATTCATTTGATTAAAAAATTTGACCGCCATTTTTTCTATCGCCTAACTCTCTTGGACTCTTATTAGTATAGTAGATAGATAAAAGTAGATTTAGATATTTAGATTTCATATCGGAACAAAAACAATGAAGGTCCAAATTAAACTATTATACATGACCCCTATTTGTAATGGAACGGCCTTACTGCACAATAAGCAAAGGTCTAGCCCTCTGTGTTCAATTGAGTTATCATGATTTACATCCTACCAAATGCTCTCTTGGGCCGGGACATGGGGACCCTTTAGAGTTAGGAATTTAACATTTTGGCATGATGATAATACCTTTAAATCTTCTTCATCAATATATATGCATATATAGATGAGACAGGAATCAACATATTATTGTGG